TAGGAGCATCCCGGGGCCGGCGGGGACGCGGCGCTGGACATGGAGCCGGCGGCGCGGGCCGGCGGGGATATCCTGAGGCGGAACCCGCAGCAGGACTACGAGCTGATCCAGCGGGTGGGGAGCGGCACCTACGGCGACGTGTACAAGGTGAGCGGCGGGGGGGCCGCCTCTGGCAAAGCCGGAGGATTCCCACTTGTGTGGAAAAGGATTGACTGTGAGGGAGGTGAGGCCCTGGCACAGGGTGCCCAGAGCAGCTGGGGCTGCCCCGGGATCCCTGAAAGTGTCCAAGGCCAGGCTGGACAGGGCTTGGAGCAACCTGGGGTAGTGCAAGGTGTCCCTGCTCATGGCAAGGGGTTTGACTGAATGAGATTTTTAAGGTTCCTTCCAACCTAAACCATTCTGGGATTCTGTGCTTGCAGCACCAGAGAAGGTTCTCTCTTAGCGCTGCTCTTGTTGGAGGTTTGAGTTGGTGAATATCGCGGGTGATACTTCCCGAGGAGAGCTAGAGGATCTCTCTGTACCTGTTTGCTGAACGCATCCAGTTAAAGCACCTGATTAAAAGGGTGCCACTTTATCCCCGAGGTTAATAATAGCCTGTGAAAGGCAGAAGCAGATTAAAGCTCTTCAGAAGCTGGAACGGAGCTGCAGCACGAGGTAGAGTTAGTGCAGCACATCAAGTAGATGCTCTTGGAATGGTGCATACCAAGAGTGGCCCTGTCCATGGCACAGAGTTGGAACTGGGTGATATTTTAGGTCCTTCCCAAGCCAAACCATTCTGGGATTCTGTAATTCTGTGTTGATGCTCATATCACCAGAACCACGGCCATGGGGGACAGGAGGTGCAGGCGGTGGTGTGTTCTTCTGAGCCCTGTCCTCAGACATCAGGGATGTTCCTCAGAAATCAGGGATGTTCCTCGGACATCAGGGATGTCCCTCGGACATCAGGGATGTTCCTCAGACATCAGAGATGTTCCTCGGACATCAGGGATGTTCCTCAGACATCAGGGATGTTCCTCATACCTCCGGTCAGCTCAGCAGCTTTTAGGGCTGGGTGAATTATAAAGAAAAGCCTAAAGTTTTCAACCTGTGCTTGGCAATGTGCATGTTCAGCTGCACGGGGAAGGAGGCTGTGGGATGTTTTCCTTTGTAGTGCTGTTGAGTGTGCTTAAAATAGACCTGACACAGCCAAGCGTGCAAGGGAAGGTGTGTTACTGTGCCACATGAAAGGCAGCAGTAATTGCTCCTGCTGGGGGAGGGCTCTTTGCTAATGTTCAAATTGAAGTTTTATAGATGGATCCTGTTCCTAGCACCCCTTTGAAATGGTTACTTATGACCTCAGGGAGTTATTTTTAAAAGTTTTCATGGTGCATATTTACCTTCCTCTTTTATTTTATTTTTTTTTTTTTCTCCTGCAGTGCTGTGCACAGATCAGTCAGCTTCTTTCCTAGGAATTCTAGCAGTAAATCCTTTAAAAGTACATTTCAGCTGTCATAAATCTGGGACTCAGCATACCTTAAGCTGCTTTGTTTGTGTGTTCCTGCCCAGTGCAGGGCAGC